TTTTTTTTTTTTTTTGTATCTAGTAATATATAAAGAGTTGTGGAGTATTCAAAGAACAGGTAAAATATATTGATGTTTTCAGAAAAATTAGAAGAAAAATTTGGAGTTATGGAGGCATTTAAAGAACAATCCAAGGCTTTAGTAGTTAGGATTCTTTGGTTTTTATGGAACAGAAAATAATTCTGGCTTAAGAAAACATTTTTAGGAACACTATGGGGGGAGTAGATAGAATTAAAGTAAAAGCCAAAGTACCAGGGAAGTTCTGGTGATTTAGTTAGCAATGTGCTGCTTTTAGAAGGTGAAGTTTTAAAAATCATAGCACTGTTAGTTCGTGGATGCCTGTGGTCTAGAGAGACAGCATCTGACTGCCTAGCTGGGATCCTGGACCTACCTCTCGGCCAGGAGGGCAGTACATTTCACTTGAGAAACCACCAAATTTGTATTTAATGGGAGAAAAATTTCCCCCAAAGAAAACCCAGAGTGCCATTACCAGAGGAAGAATAAATGAGTTCTGAACAGACAAACAGAAGTCCACCATATATACTAAACAGTATCATACCAAACACTTTAGAGGAATATTTCATCAATAGAGGAGATAGGACATTGACTGGGCCTTGGAAAATTGACAGAATTTTGCTAAGCAAAGGAAAGACTGCCAGACATGGAAGAACAATCAGCAAAAACACCAGAACAATCATAGCATGTTTAAGGCATGTCAGGGACACCGTCCTGGTGACGGTAGTATAGGATCTATACTTGGGAATAGTTAAGAAGTTGGTTTGAAGGATTTTCAAAGCCATACTGAGAAGGGAAATTTCACATTGATGGGTAATGGACATCATTTAAAGCTCTTGATCAGGGGAGCAATACCATTAAACTGGTGTGGTCAGCAGAAATAACGTCTCCTGGTCCCTCGCTGTCTTTCCAAGATGCCCATGTCCTGTTCTCTGGAATCTGTGACTATGTTATCTTATGTGGCAGAAGGGATATTGCAGATGTGATTAAGGTTACAGGTCCTGAGGTCAAGAGATCCTTAAAACAATACTGAGGTATATAAATACTTTTATAAGACTAATTTCTCAGATGAGGAAACAGGCACTGAGTAACTGGCACAAGATCACATGGGCAGTGGTAAAAATAAGGTGGTAATACATATATACTCTAGTTTCAGGGCTGCTTTAGCTGGGGTGGTCAGGGAGGCATGCATGTCGAGGTAGCATGAACAGAGACATAGAGAGATGAGGTGAACTCAGCCATACAAACATGTGGAGCCAAAGTATTTTTGACTTGAAATAGGAAGTAAAAAAACTCTAAAGTTCAAAAGACCAGTATGACCAGTGTGGCTGGAGCATGCTCAGTGGTCAGTGGCAAGAGAAGCCAGAGAGGTAGTCAAGGGTAGGAAATTTAGGAGGCATAGGCTTTGGTAAGGTGTTTCTTTTATTAAAAATGCAACAAGCCACCAGAGGGTTGGGGATAGGGTGTTGATATAATTTGTATTTCAAAAAGGCCAGCCTATCTGCTCTATGGAAAGTAGACTAAAGGGAGCAAGGCAACCCTGGAAGAAAAGGTAGGAGTTATCTTAATCACCCACTTAATAACGTGGCCAGGACCAAGATACAGTAGCACAGGTGACGAGCAGTGGTTGAACGTGGGCTGTATTTAGGGTATATTTCATATCACCAGGACTGGTTGATGGTTATAACCAGGAGAGAAATTAAGGGAACCCAATGGCATGAAAATCAGGAGAAAAAAACAAAACAAGATTTACAGCAGCAGTCAACACTATCTAGTACAAAGAAACAGAAAAACTGAGGAGGAGGAAACATGCCACTGGTTTTGACTTCTGAATGTCATGAAGGTTGAAAAAGTGTCTTAGTGGATGATGGGATGGGGTTAGATTGCACTAGATTACAGGAGTTGGTGGTAACTGCTGGTAG